GGTGGGGGTAGCACAATTGTCTGTAATGTTTTTTGATTTGTGTTCTGGTTCCTAAAGTTACCATGTTTTGATCACTTTCAGCGTAATTGCATTCCCGTTATTATATAAATTAGAGTCAGCTGTTTTGTTACCATTTCCATATTTATGTACATCTTAGTTCTAGATTATGTTTAAACCAATATCTGCACCCCTTTTGAAAGTCTTAAATGCACACACCAAATCATTTTTAGAGTAGTGCATTTTCATTCACCTAGTTTAGATTGTACCTACATTGGACATTAGTGGCTATTTTTTAGCTATCCCATAACCTTTCCCTTCATTACTTGAGGTGGGGTTTCTTATTGTGTTTTGTAAAATTACCTATTTCTGTTCAGAACATGCATTAAAGCAAAAAACGAGACACAAATGACCCCCTAAAAGGTAATGTGGCTGCCTGGTTGACTTCTGGCGGAAATAACATAAAACTTATATGAAAAATGTCTACATTTTATTGAAACACGTATAAAACACCTAAGCTCAAATGCACATATCTGAACCCCAAAAGACATGCATTAACAAATATATATTGGGATGCAGATTATCAGAACCCAAGACCACTGTTCAAAATGTATCACATAGGTTTATGTTCCTGTAACAGTAAAGAATATGTAAGTGTCATGTTGGCTGAATGAGTAGCATTCTTGCCTTGCAGCACTGAGATCCCGGCATATTTTGCCACTAACTGTGGGTAGTTTGTGTGCCTCATGTCTGTGTGGGTTTCCTCTGTGTACCCCAAACTAATCTACAATGTGAGATTTAAGGTACTGCTGCCTCTGACGTCTAGGCTCCCCAGATTTGGAATTAGATTGGGTGATGTCACTACTGTGCTCTTTGCTGGAGAAATTCATTATGTGGATCTGTGCTTTGTAAACCTTTCCTGCTGCTTCTTGAATATTCTCCATCAGTCACTGGGGAGGCGGCACTGTGAGGACCTGGCAGGGCTCTGACTCAGAGTCCTATCTCTGTGAATACCTTGTGCGAGGCAGCACTGTGAGGTCCCGGAAGGGCTATGAATCTGATCCTGATCTCTCTTGCTGGCTTTTTGGAGATGGCAGGGGGAGTTGACACACAAGTCAAGCTATTTAAAGTGCCGGTATCGGCGCTATGCATCGGGGCATTTTCACAAGTACGCATGAAAATGCCCTGTATCGGCCCCGATACCGATATCAGTATCGGTATTGGGACATCCCTAATTGCTGTGATCCCAGATCTAAGTGTGATTGATGGGGAACTTCAGGAAGCACAGGTATGGTCAGATGACATCTCACGATCTGCGCGATAATCAAAAATCTCATTCTATAGTAATACCCTTACCATGACTTGTTACCCTTTAGTTCTAGACCCCCTTTGTAAAAAATAATAGTGGTCCAGGTAACACTTGACCACTTGCTTCCACTTAACACAGAAATATGAACTTATAATATTGTATAAGAAGTAATTCATGTGCTCTGGACCAGTTTTCTAATAACCTATTCAATCCAACATCTTACACTCTAACCTGCTGACCTTTTTCTGCGTATTAATTTAATGTCATGCACCCTATTCCATGATATAAGTCCCAAGGACTTACATTCTAGCTGCATTGTAAGAAACATGAATGCAATTATTTTTTATGTCATTGCATTCCTGCGGTCCCCTTGCAGCCTGTCTCCTCTGCATCCTGGTAGCAGCCTAGGTAGCTCAACCTTGCCCTGCCACAATTGAAATTGTATTTTCTATTTCCTTTGATTTATGCACACATGAAAACATGCTTTCTTTTTATAAATTAGGTCATAAAAGCAATTCATTTAGATGCAATAGACACTATCTAATTATTACTTAATAAAAGGACTTGCAGAAATCTATTGTGAAACTGCACAGCCATGAGTAGGTGTAAAGGTAATATGGAGCTTGACAAGCAGCCTTCTCTAATATACTGGAGAGACTGGTAGGACAAGATGGTGGACCAAAATATTAGGATTTATTAAAAGCAGAGTGTGTTCTGTAACCCCCGCTATAACAGAAATTCCCTGTACAGCCTCATTAGAAAATGTAAGGTTCATGCTTGCATTATTTAAGATCATCAGATGCAATGGCTCTCCGTGTTGTTCCCATTAACTTATTCATCAGGGGCATTAGATGCATTGCAAATTTGTATTTCAGTTCTTTGTCTCTTAGTTGTGTCCCAAAGCAACAGGAGCAGGAGGAAGTGACTGTAATATGTGAATGTCACTAACCTATTTTCAACATGTTTTCTATCTATTCTCCCCTTTGTATTTATTATCTTCAGTTAAAAAAAAAAATATGAATCAGCAAATATGAAACAATTATTTTATTTTTTTTGTATTTGCCATTTATGGTAACAATAGACAGGAATCACAGGCAAAACTCCTCCTTTAGACAGGACTTAAAGGATAAGTGCACTTTAAAACAAAAGTGCATTTATCCTTTATGTCCCCCACCCCTGACTTAAGGATCCCCCCTCCTCAGATCCATACTTACTGAGATCTGACAAGCACGGTCCCTTTATTGTTTACATCGAGTGCCGCAATGCGCCCTCGGCTGGCTTGCCAGCAGATTACAGCCTCCTAGACTTTTATGGGGCCATCTCCCAGCTGGGAGATGGACACGGCCAGGAGACGGAGGCTTGCAGTGCTGGATGTCAACAAACACTGGAGCAGCTGCCCTTGGATCTCAGTAAGTTTAGATATGTGGAGGATGAGGGTCAGATCCTTTAGAGGGAGCAAAATTAATTGGTGCACTTTGTCTAAAAGTGCATGTATTCTCTAACCATTGAATTCTGAATGGCTGCTACAAGGTATACAGGAAATGCTGTGCTATCTTTGAGAGAACTCAATAGATACAGTATATTACAATGGATTATTTACAATGTATTACTTTAGTGAAAACTCCAAATTTAAAAAGATTGAAAATGAATTATATTAATGTTAATGAATGAATGTTGAAATTAAATGAGGTTTTAGTGACTGGGTTTGCATTTACTTTTAACATGCAGGACCTAATGCTCTGGTATAGAAGTAGGCACCACAACGTGCCTGCAGTTGCCTACGCTATTAACCATATCCACTTTTTTTAAGGCAGTCACATTATTTTAATTTGTGTAAAAAGTAGTAAACATGTATTTTGTTTTTTGGATACTCCTTCTAAAAGGTTGATAACATTTATATATGTATATTGCACAGTACTACATCTTTTGTTTTACATACTGGATATAATTCTGTTTATTTAAACACAGCAGTCCTTCACATCTCCAGTATGCTGGGTGTCATTATCAGTATCTGTTCGTATTGTGTACTTCTCTTATTCTATACGATGGGTGTATCTGGTCTTATTCTGTATATATGGATGGTACATAGTAGGATTTCTCTTATTCCATATGCTGGGTGTAATTCTCATTATATGTTATTCTGTATGTATAAAATCTCCACAGTAGCACTTCTCTTGTTTTGCATGCTGAGTATAATATTCAGTCTCTGTTCCTATTATGTGCTGTATGTGTAGATTCTGCACAGTGCTCTTCTTCTTGCCGTGTATAATACTTGGTAACTTTTGTTATTCTGTATGAAGGGATGCTGCATACAACCAGCCACAGATTGTCAGTAGTCTTGCATAGCTCAAAAAATACCTTACCCATCACAATCCTCTTTTCAGCTCATATATCATCTATAGGGGAAGGTGTGTCATTGTATACCTGTGCCTGTAGAAGCCATGCTAACACATTAGCCCCACCAAGACATAATGCAGTATTTTGCCCTGCTTATAATATGGTACCTCCAAATGATTTTGGAATGTAGGGATGAGCTTAGGTTTAGTCCAGAATTATGTTTATCTGAACCTGGAGCTGCGGCCAGGGCAATCCTCACCCCGCATCTGCACGTAAACAAAGAGGTAGGATGCTGGTAACATCATTGACCTTATATGGCATGTTATTCATTAAATATGGCCATGATGTCACTAGCATCCTGACCTTTTGTTTACAATCAGCTGCAGCAGTGGGGAATAATGACTGGACCAGCACTGACAGCTTCCTTCCATGTTCAGATAAATTCCCTTTCAGACTGAACCCGAGCTAATCCCAAGTTGGCCAAAATGCTTATTTTGATTAAATTGCACAAGTCAAAACATGCCCACTAACCCCACTCAGCTCTGTTAAACCACCACTTCCTCTCCCCTAAACCAAAGGGCATGCTGCAGTGACCAGTACAAAGGCTCTCAATAACCACCTCCCGTCCATGACCATTCATGAACGGCCAGACGGGAGCCTTACAGGAGCGGGAGGGCATCTTAAGGCATCCTGCCCCTCCCCCCGCTCGTGCACAGCGCCCAGCACGCACACGAGTGGGGAAACTGCCAGCCTTCTTAGTCCCCTATGTGATAGCAATAAAGTTAAGTGTAAAAAAAAAAGTTTTAAAAAAATGAAAGCATAAAAAATAAATAAAAAGAAGCTAAAAAAAATGTATATAACAAATATTTTCCTAAAGTCCCTCGCCCCACCCCCCCCACCTACACATGCAAACATGCTAGGTTTCCACGTATTGTGCCGCACATGTTACATATCGCCACAAAAGTCAGAGTGAGAGCAATCATTTTAGTGCCATTAATCACTGATACCACTAAACTGATGAGCGGTAAAAGCTTTTAAAGCGTCGCCTATGCACAATTTTGGGTGTGGTTATTTTCTGCGATTTTGCGGGCACGCGCAATTTTACATTTTGACATGTTTGGTGTCTATTTACCCGACATGACCCTGTCTTTTATATTTTACCAAAACAATTGGGTAATAATAAATGTTTCATAACATTTGATGGGGAAACAGTTTGGTTTTTTTTTTCAAAAATTTAGGGTACTTTTTTGTTACATAGTAAAAAATAAAAACCCCAGCGGTAATTAATTACCACCAAAATAAACCTCTACAATTTACAACAGCGGTATATTTAAAAAAAAAAAAAGCTGAACTTTTTTATTTAAAACATCATTATTGGATTCCATTGAAGTGACTTTGCCTAGGCTAAGATGATGTCCTCAGTATATTGCAAGCAGGAGAAGACAGTCTCCCATCCCCCAGTCATCAGGCTTTAAAGTGATATTAAAGTCAAAGGGTTTTTAAAGCTATTACAAATGCTGATTAAATCACTTACCATTGCTGATGTGCCTTGATGTTTAAAAGTCTTAGTTTCCTGCAGAAACAGCTGGTCTCCTGAGCACTGGCCCTGATATCCTGTTTTAGGGTGGCTCCTTTCCCTTGAAGGGCCCTACGGAGCCACCCTTGTGTGTGCTAGTAAGCAGCATGCGTCCCCACAAACACACAGGTACAGCAAGGCAAGCTGCTCCCCACGCCTCCGTCCTTCTCCAGGCTAGTAGATGGGCAGTTGCTGGAAACTGTGTTGTTCCTTGTAATCTTGTTCTGGACAGGAAGTTTAGGGAAGCTGAGTTAAGAAAGTTGAAACTTGGAAACATGATAACTGCAAGGGCTTGGGCAAAATAGAAAGAAATACTTTGCTGGGCAAAGCATATTTGTTTCATCTGGATTCATTATTGGAAAAAAAGTAAAAATTTACAATACCACTTTAACATTGTAGCAAAAGGTGAGACGCTGTATCAGGTGCAGATCTGTATCAGACAGTTGTAAACGCAGCCACAAACTGCTCAGGCATCAGGATTTAAATAGCCGTGTGACATCTGATCTCTGTGAGAGGTAGTAAATACTTGGAAGTGTTACACTTGCATAATACTTACCCTGCATGAACGTAACACAAAGTATATAGCAGATGTTAGGTCCACTTTAACAATAAAATTGCATTTTTTTTGTTTATTCGAATGCTGTTGCATATGGTAATACATGTGCAGACTAGTAAAGTTACTGAGAGGTCAACGTTAAGTAATTACAATTATTTACAAATTAAATCCCACCCTCCTCTTAACCAGCAGCACTCTCTCGGTGTGAATATATATTTCCAATGCAATCGATTGCAACTGCTGAAGTGCAAACATTGTTGGTTACTCCCAGAAGCTTCCCAACCCTATAGGAAATCTTTTCTTGTTAGGCAGTGCCATCTAGTGGTATTGAAACACTTCAAAGCAAATGTACAGTTTTTCAATGTAAGATACAATTACATATTGTTTCTTTTGTTACCTTTAGCCGAAGTGAATATTAGTCATGGAGACCTCACCATGAACTGTGTTTTGTAAAGAACAGAAGTACCTAGCACATCTTTGTGAGCTGTATGGAAACGGCATTTTCTTGAAGGTTCTTTTGTCAAGCATGCTCTCCAGTAAGGCTAGGTCTTCACTGCTGCTCATGCATGGAGCTGTGGTACACAGTCTGGGAAAGAATAAGTTGCATGAATATAGCTGCGCAGAGAGCTTTTGTTAGAAATCAACCTCTGAGACTTTTCTTCCACATCACTGGAGCTGACAATATCTGACACGTTCCTACAATCTGTCACACCAATCACATACACATGCCGAGGCCATGTCCTCAGATGATTCCAGCACTGATAACTTGTAGCTGTTCCTCTAGAGATTATTATCTGCAATGGATCACAAGATTTCATTTCAACATATGTTTCTGTACCAGGGTTATAAAGAACGCAGTAAAACAATGAGCCAAGACTGGTGCAGAATAATAAAAACTGGAGCACAGAAAAAGTATGGCTGTTGCCTATGGCAAAAAAAGATGTCAACTTACGTCTTACACCCTGCACTAGATACTGACAGAACTGACTTGTCTTATGAAAACTGAAACAGAGATGGTGCAGCAAGACTTTAGAAGGCTGTTGAATTCAGTGGTGTTGATTTACTAAAGGCATATAGGCTGTTCACTTTCCAAGGGAATTTAGTCTTTGCAGGGGAATTTTCCCTTAGCTTGGTGAATGTGGTGAAAACTAATTTTGCAAAGAATACCCAATCATATGCAAGGAAAAAAAAATGTTTTAAGTATTTTTGCCTGCACTTGATTGGAAGATAGAAGGGAGCAGAGCTGCGTGCAAAATAAAACACCCCTTGCAAAGAGAACATGCTAGTAAATCACCCCTGTTGACTCGTTTGGGAGAAGAAGATGCTTGATCGGTTGCTGTGAGTGATTGCACTACTTGTCCCAGTTTTCATCAATCACTCAAATGGAATCTGGTTTCCCTGGGCAGTATTTCTACTTGACCCAAATTTCATACATTAGCCCAAGTTTTCAGATTCGGTGTACTGTGTTCTGTTTCTTCCTTCCTTATATATTTCTTCAAAAGCAAACACCACTGGGGTAGCTACCAACTTAAAGGAGAACTATGGGGTTTAGGCTTTTCCCCATAGTTCTCCTTAGGGTAACGGGAGGACACAAACTAGCGTCCTCCCGTCACCCTAAGCGCAGTATACCGCGAGCTGCAGCTCGCGGTATAATGAGACGCCACAGTATACCGCAAACTACTGCTCGCGGTATACTGAGACGCCACAGCTGAAGCGGATCCCGACAATTATGTCTGGATCCGCCCAGCTGCGTGAGTGACAGCTGGCTCTGCCTATCTAGAGGCAGAGCCAGCTGTACCCGCCCCCTCCCCCTGTCTGTTCCGCCAGTCAGCGCTGGCGGATCGGAGCGGGGAGGGGGGAATCCAGCCCCTCCCTTGTCACAGCAGAGAGCTGTGGCAGGATCGAGAGGTGAGCGAACGCCGGTATGTGTCCGCTCACCTCCCGATCTACTGAGCCGACCTGTGACAGTCTCATTGTCACAGGTCGGCTAGAACTATGAGGTGAGTGAGAAGCACTCACCTCATAGTTCTCCTTTAATCAGCCTTAGAAATATTTAACATTTTATATATAAACGGAATTTACATTTTTTTAATGTATGTTTTATTCCTGATCATAATGAACAAAGTTAGAGGTTATGTACAAAAACACTATCAATTCCCTTTAAATCCTATCTCTGGATTTAAAAAAAACTCCCCCCTTTGCTGTGGGGCTAACTTAGCACTGCAAGGGTTAACTGCCCGTTTTTTATCCAGGGCATTCTTTAAAGTAGTTTTACTTACCTAATCACCGCTCATGCTGCCTCCAGGACCTGGCAAACGCAGCCTCTTCTGAACACCACTTCGGCAGTCGATGTTACGCTGACATAATCACATCTAATGCAGGGTCCATAGCCCTGCATTACATGGGAGTATACTGAGGGGACAGCTTACGAGCTGGAGCATAGGGGAGAGAGGTGAGCGTCAACTGCCAGGACAGCAGGAATCAAGTGAGTAAATCTACTTAATAGATTCCTCCTAGACAAAAGTGAGCAGTAAAACCCTTGCAGTGCAGGGGTAGACCTACTGCAAGGGGAGGTTTTTGCATCTGGAGATAGGCTTTTAAGCAAACTCTGCCTTAGCCCATTCAGATCAAGTAACAGATTAACTGCATAGCAGGTCCCCACCACTCCTGCTACTTTTACATACCCAACTACCCACCCCTCAACAAAACACATGGTATCGCCTTGTACGAGGAAATCACACTCTTTCTCTCCTCGCTCAAACAGTTAAGTACTTAGTGCCTAAAAGGCTAATAGTCAGGTTTGAGCACTGGTATATTGTGGACAGCAGATGGTCCTCAAAATCGTGGTGGCATGAGTGCTAATGGAGGGTTGATACCAGCAGCGGATGGGAACTGCTATACACCACACCTTGTACTTTTCCCTAAATAGGCAAAGGACAGGTTTGCTTTAAAGGGTAATTGCACTTTTGTCGAGAAAAAAAAAAACAATCTTCCCTGGGTGATCAATATACATAACAAGGATTATGACACACTGTGTTGCAGTTTCCTACCTGTTTCTGTTCTGAAGGAAAAGCTGTTTCTTGCAGCATGTCCTCTCCAAAGTGATCTCAGAATGGGAGGGTCAGGGTTCATTATAACCAGCTGGGCGGCTTCCTGTGTTCTAATAGGGAGAGGTGCAGTGTCTGCATCCCTCTAGTAGTAATTAACCCATTGGGAGACTCTCACCAAAACTGAAATTCCTTTTGCAGGGGATGCAAAAATTATACTTGTTTCTTAGTGCAGACTTCTGGAAAATTAGCCAGTCACTCACAAAAGGAGGAAGTGACATTTCTACAAGAACAACTTGGGGTTAGCTTTAGGACCTGTGTCAACTCGCATTGGTTTTGTGTTTATGGCATCGGTTTGAGATGCTTCTGAGATCATCCAAAATTCATTAACATTTGACCTCCATCCAAACGCACTAGGAGTCTCGCGCTGGGAGTCTCGCGCTATTAGATAGTGGCTCCCGGCCGCCCGGGAGAGAAACATTTTCTCCCGGAAAGGTTTACTCTGCTATACCTAGCAGAGTAAACCTTTCCCTGCAATGTTTTTGGGTTTTTTCTGACGTCAGTACCGTTTTTAGTGGCACAAATGCTAGCTATAGATTCACCAGCTTCAGTAGATACATTCTCCAATGCAGCTGCTCATGCATATGCCACACTGGAGATTTGCAGCTGCCTAGAAAAGCAGCTACAATTCATCAGAGAAAGTAACCAGAGATATTTGTAGCTGCTACGAATCTCTGCTACAACATTGCTAGTGTGAAATGGCCCTTTATTGTTGAAGCTGTTTGTAGACTTTTTTCATTGTTTTTTATACTTCTGCATCATCAGATGGTTTGTATTTATCACTTTCTATCACAATCTATCATTTGTCTTGTGAATGGCCTGTGTCATCATAGCAGTCAATGACCTCTTGTTTCTGATATGGTTAATTTGACAGGAGTTCCTTTAAGCTTGTTACCAAACCATCAGCAGCCCCAGTGGATTAAAGAGGTCAATGCAAACAGCATAAACAAAAGCATTTATTGCATTTTTTGACAGTTACCAATGATTAACACAGATCAGTACTTTGATACAGCTGGCATGACATTTATAAATCATAAATCAATTGCTTAGATTTTATCTTACTATATATTTTTTGGAAAATTAGAAGACTGTATGTTATGTTGATGGAATACAATGAATGCATACACATTTATGTGGATATGTAATGGTATTATTTAGAAAAAGCGTGTATACTTGCATTGAAATGGAACCTTGAGCTTTTCTACAAAGCTAATGTCATGCGTGTGTGTTTTATTGTACTATTTTAAGGTATGACCCCGAAGGACATTTAACAAACGCAACCTTTCCAACTGGAGAAGTCAGCAGTTTTTACAGTGATATGGAAAAATCTACTCGAGTTGAGCTAGACACTTCAAACAAAGAAAATGTTATCACCACCACCAATATATCTGCAACAAGCATTGTCTACGCATTAAAACAAGGTAGTGTGGGCGATATGACAGAACAGGTCAATGTTAACAAGGAAAAAGCTTTCTTTATTCCTGACAAAGGTCATGTTTATTTACCTAGTCTATGTATTTTATCTGCATAATATGCTTTTCTGTGTCATTCACATAGATATTTATAGATTAGAGACAAGGTGTTTGGGGTTGATTGTGAATCACACTGACTTTCTCATTATTTTAACTGTTGTTAATTTATAAAGTGCTTGAGAATTTAATTTACATAGACAACATTCTGAAGCAATAAGTAAAGATAGCCTTAGTCTTGCCATAGACATTTGATGGTGGTTACAAAATGATACAGAAAATGTTCATACACACGCACAATTATTTAGAATAAATAAGTATAATTATGCAAGAAGTAGAATAGTCTGGAAATATCTATAACCATATTATTTAATTCTCAAGATTTGTTGGCCAGTGGGTGCTAGCACAAGTTGCTCTGTGTTATAGATATACAATAATTTCTAGTTTCAATCAATGTTGGCCAGATCAGGCATCTCATGATTCTTAGAAGCTCTTTCAAGCAAACATGATACCAAATTGCAATTAGTAAAAGCGCACTCACAATGTGTACACTCACGTTTTACATCAGTCAGGGAAGCAGGAAGATCACCTCCTCCTGTTAGCTGCCACACCTTGCACTGATACACCAAAATTCATTGGGTTTCCTGTAATGTGTAATATTAGACATAGGAAGCTGAACTGCAATAGTTGCACAATAATAAAAGAGCAATTAGACAATAAAGATAACTGTACTTCTAAAACACAGTAGTAGTTATTTTTATATTCAATCATTTTTATTGAAAATTTGAATAACAAAGGTTACAATAGATAAACAAAGAATAGGGGGACAGCAATATACAGTAAGCAATCAAGTGAGGTTCATCCCTTGTGTGAGAAAGAAAAAAGATGAAAAAAAAAACATGAAGAAGACGGCAACAGAGAAAGGTGAAGAGACGGAAGAGGGTGTAGCATAGAAGAAGAAAGTAAAGAAAAAATAGAGGGGAGGGGAAAACGGCCGAGGGGGTAGCACTACTGAAGGCAAACCGAAACATGCAAAGCATGAACCTGGATGTGGCACTGATCAAAATCACTGAGGAGGAAACTCGAGACCCATGGTTCCCAAACCTTTCAAAACTTAGACATAGAGCCTTGTAGTTTAGCTGCACATTAGTAAATGTAATACATTCACGAATACTTACCAGCCTTTTAAATATTTCCTATTATCTTTACCTTTTCCCTCTGTTTTAAGAGCTGCCATCATAGGCCCAGGTCAGTGAGAACATTTCTCTGCTTACATTTAGCTTGTCTGTGTCTGCATTATAATGCACACAAGAAAGAACAAGGAAAGATGTGCTTCAAATACCAGTTCACTTCCATGTCTTTACTGTTGGCGACCATAAAATATGTTTTTTTGCTGCAGTGAACTAATGGCATCACTGAAGATCACAATCTGCTAGAAACAGGCAGCCTCTGCATGAGCTTAGCTACAATGTATAGATTACATGTGTCCAGACGTGAACTGAGAACAGGGTAAAGATTACAATATGTCTACAGGCAAGGACTAAGAACATGAAGGGCACCAGGGATACATCTAAATATGTGTTCTAACTTACACAATTTGCTTTCTGGAATCATATGTAATAAGAGGATGGTCAAGGCTTATGTAAACTCATGCAGGGGTTGCCAGCCTCTTGGAGTTTAAGATCTCTACTGATTACATGAGTTCATTACAGCATAAAAATTATCAATAATGGTCACTGAAGATGAAGAAATAAAAAATGTATGTAGAGTAGATGCCTTCCTTATTCTTAATCCTAGCTGAAGTTACAGCACAGACATAGACAAGCTAACACCAATTTTCACACTGACGTGGGCTACAAGTTAAATATGTGTTCCAGTACTCATGTAGTCCCAAATACATTTTGATAATTGTGTCATATAAGCAAGCAGTAATGGACTTGTGAGGCTTCAACAAGTGTTTCAACTTGATTGTTAACCCTTATTGCAAATATATTTTAAGAAATCTTTCTGTGTGTTCATTCATTCTGACATTTAGTGTTCACAGTTCATCTAACACTTAGAGCCTGCAAGCAGAAGTGAGAGGTTGAAACTGCAAACCTTTTCATCCAACCTCATTAAAACACAATGTTTTAACATGCAAATATGTCAGTGAGTATTACAGCACTGAAGGAAATAATCCTTTCGTGCTTTTCTGCTAATTATAAACACATAAGATTTAATTGTCCACAATGTAGCTGTCATGTTCACACTTGTACATACAATGACATGCAGGGTAGGGATGTCAGTTGTTAATCTTGAGCAAAGCTGAGCATTGAGCTACAGACCTCATTGGAATGAAGTGCATTAGACTAGCTACCTTCTTTGTTTTCATTCACAAGGGCAGTACTGCGTTACATAATTAAAGTAATTTAAAGTGATATTTAAAGCTAATACTTAAAGTATGCTACATGTATTTGACTACCATACAATAAGAGATAAGGGAAATGTGATAAGAATAGGCTAGTGAGTTCCTCACCTCTTGTAATATGCATTAGCTTAAGGTGAATCTCTGCCCAGACTACACATGCTAAAGTATTTGGATATTATGAACAGGCAGTAAAATCAGGTTAAAACAAACCTTCAATTATCACTATATTTATAGACATTGTGGAGCAATTCTTATTTCAAGTTCACAACAGAGACACAGAAATCTCAGCTTTTTTTCTATGGAGAGCAGAATCTTGACAGTAACCATACACTAGGTGCTTGTAAATTATAAGAAACTCACTGAAAGCTGACTTTGATGGAATTAACAAAGGGAAATGTGTCAGTTTATTGGTGTAAATATTGGCACATTTTTCATGAGCCAGATTAACAATGTTATAGGGCAAGTTCTTTGTGGTGTTGCCGCAGCTGTGAATCACGTTAAAAGGGTTATGTGACAGTTTCTATAAATGTCCGATCATATGTGGAAAATGTGACAATGTTCTAATTTTAACAGTTCTACATTATGCACCATTACCAGAGTGGTGTAAATATTGTAATGAGGAGGGGCTGGGCAGCAACCAACAGGAGAGGAGAGGTGCAGCAATGCATGAAGGAGGTAAGAAGGAGAAAAATGAGGATAATCCCAGTGGAAGATTACCTCAGATCTGCACAAAATGTTTGTCACACGCCAGAGTAAGTGCACATGAATATAGCTCACCACCATTTGATAAATTGACAAATTGGCGTATGCCACTTTAAAAAATATGTTGTGGGAAGCCCTATTTTAACAGGCAAATAGAAACTGGTGCAGTTTTTTGGCATGCAACAGTCTTTGTTATTTCCCCCTTCGTTGCGATCTTTGAAGATCTCTGAGAATGAATTACTTCACAGTACATGCAGCTAGAGAGATTACAGAGGACTTGCTCCAAAGTTCTTTTAATGCACATTAAGAATATGCAATTATTTATTGACCAAAGTCTGGGCACAGATGAACTATACTGGGAATCTGTCACTGAAATTGAAGAACCTGCCATCTATCATGAATACAAACAATGTTATGCATTCTAGGCCCAATGAGCTGGTGGTCTTGCCTAAGAGGTTGATTTAGTAAAGGAGTAGAGAATTTTCACTTCCCTAAGTGACTGTGCAGTTATAATTTTTGTTCACTTTAATCATCCAAATTGTATCGCAGCAAACATTTGTTTTTTTTATTTTCCTTGGTCATGGTTAGATATTTCATGTGGACACTATTTCACCCTATTTGGTTAGCTAAGTGACCATTCACTTTGCCTAGTAAACGTTCTTTACTCTTTTACCACCAACAGTTTGAGATGTTTTTCCTGAGAAATTATCTACTGCCAGTATTTATGTGCAGGGACCTAGCAATTTAATAATGTATGAGTACCAAACAAGTAATGAGGTGAGAAGTTGTCTAGGTCAGAACCAAAGGTCACAGAATACAAAATCAGTGTGAATTACAAATTCAAAACCAACCTTCGTTCATACAGAAGATGTTACCATCCAATAAACAACCCAGTTCAATAGAATAAATTATATGATATGCAATATTGTATACTCATTAGACTTTAAAAAATCTGCAATGAGCGTTAGCTACATACCAAACCTGTTTCTCTACATAGTCATATACATTCAGTTTGCGGTTTCACTAGCTTGTTGGAAAAATGTGCCTATTGTCACGGAAGACCACAATACATCTGTCTTCACAGCAGGTAACATGGCAAGAAAATATTACTTGCTTCTGTTATACACAATGGAAACCCTTTCAAAATTTTCCAAACATTTTGCCATATTTGACAGACACATTTATTGTTCCATAAAAGACTGACAAACAGAAACTAGTGCTGCGAGGTCGAACATATTGGATGCGTATCTTTTTCAGGCTAGTATAGTATGTAACTGCCTCATTTATTACAATTAAACTACTGCCATTGTTGGGTGGTACCAGATCATGCTTAAAACATACTTGGCAGTACAAATATATCATGCTTCCAGAGCCATAACTACTGCTTTTACAGGTCACATTTAATTATGCTGGGGTCATTCTTTGTATTTATGAGAGCCTCGTTTTCTGTTATGCTTTTCCCATTTGTTTTAACAATGTAGGCAATCTAGCAATTTAATAAGTACACTGGCAATTATCTAAATTGATGTATTTCATTTTATGTTAGAGAAGGACTAGAATAGACACATACAGCCTAATTAAAATAAACAGTAGGGATGAATTAATGTGCCCTGGTTCATAGGGGGGTTTGTCGAATCCTGCTTGAATACCAAGAAAACATAATTTAGCAGTGAATCCTATTGAAGTCTATGGGGTAGGGGACTTAATATTTCTGGACATTTTCAAGGCTAATAGGCAAGCTATTGTCAAAAAGGAGCCTGGGAAGCTGGGCACTGCCATGGGGGATATTTAACAAAGCAACAAAAAAATGTTTTTAAATACCATAAAGAGGGAAGAGGGTCTTGTTTAATACAACTTCAAGGGTGACATGGAAAAAAAACACCAGTCTTTTAAATTACGTACTTGGGAGATGCTTTCAAGCTGCATGTGGTGCTGCAGAACAGTATATTTTTTGGGCTCCTTGAGGGCAGGGACTGATGTGAATGTGCAGTATGTAAAGCACTGTGCAAATTGGTGGCGCTATATAAATAACAATAATAGATAAATATAAGGACAGTATCAGCAACACTGTATTCTGGCATCACACATTTTGGATATGAAATAGATTTTTTAAATTTAGTTTGGCTTTGCATACAGCAGCAGCACCCCAATATGATAAATTTCAAACTGAAAAAAATACGTTTTGGTATTTGTGGATGTGACACCTGCTTTTTTTTATCCAATAAAAAAAAGCTAAAGCCCTCAAATTCAACCTTCAAAATCAGTTTAGTTTGTGAACTTATTTTTTGCAGCACCACACTGCAGTGTCTTAAAAGTTTAATAAAATGTGCACAAAAACACCTCAAAACCACAACCGAACATTCCACAACTCCCTTGCCATCCCCATATCACAATATTAAAAATATAGACATCAGATATGTGTTTGATAGAAACTAGCTAGTGTCAGGACAGTATGTGAACACTTAAATAAGCAGCAAATAGAAAGAGACAAGGCAGAAAGACAAATAGAAAGAGACAATTGCCATAAATAGTGTTCTGTAGCTGGGCATTATGAAAGCAGCTTAATTAGTCCTCAGTATCAGAGTGAGAGTGTGTACATTGGAGGGGGGCTTGGGGTCCTCTGCTGCAGGACATGTATGGTAAATAGGGTCTTTTTTGCTTAAATGCCTGTGCAAGGAACCCAGGATTCAGGTCATCATAGAGAGGGATCACTACTGGTTGGCCACCCTATTAGATCCCTGATACAAGGGTTAAATGGCTGATCTACTGCCACCATTTCAGAGGGAGCACAAAATGCATCACTTTGAGGTACTGCATATGAACTTTTCTGCACCCCTTTGATGACCAGTGTGCCTCTGATCCTCTGATCACTGAAAGGAGGTATTTAAAACAACGTGATTGCTTAATACATCAGATCCCAGGCTGATGTGGGCACTCTGAAAATTGAGGACCACATGGACTATTGAGTGTGCAGGTTGGACCACTGGCCAGAGCTTGCTCAGGATGCGCTTGAGCTCCTAGCTTGTCCTTCAGCCAGTGTGCTGTCTGAGAGGACCCATCTGAAGCTGCAAAAATACAACTACACTATAACTAACCCCAAGTCTGGCAGTCTGAGTCCCACTTTGTTCAAGCTCTTTGTGCTGCAACCCCTCACATGTAATCTATAGAAAAGTTCCTGGCCTGGGTAGGTGATTTCAGGCCATATCTTTTTGGGGTGGGATAGTGTTTCATTTTTCTTTTCATATTAACTGATATTTGTTTGTTTTTTATATACTTTTTTAAATACTAGACCAATTTATGTGTGCTGCAACTCCTCCCATATAATTTATTTATATTTTTTTTTTTATTTTTTTTTATAATTCTCTATTTTTTGGTATTGTACACCCAAAAATTGGCAACACACAGCAGAGGCCAGGCACATCTGCAATTCCTCCACGTTGACAGCATTATCTAGGCAGCCAGGTTTGTTTTTTAGCTGAAGGAGAAACCCTACATCCATAGCCTGTCATTCCTTCCACAACACAGGGGGAAGGGCAGGAAAATTTGATTCTTCCCTTCCACCTTCACCACTTCCTCCTCCTCCCCTTTTCACCCCATCCTCTGTCACCTATTGATTTCCACCTCCTCATCCTTTGTGATTATGGCATGAGGATAGGCTCTGGAAAGCAAGGGTTATATTTGGTAATCATTGTCACAGAATCATACATGGTGAGGAACTTTTGAAAACAACCCCCTTCCACCAGTACTCCACCTCTTCCTCCCTCTAATCCTCCTTTCCTTCCCTTTTACCTTTTAAGTATATGGGAATATGGCAGGGAATTGCATACAGGGTGAGGGTGTGTGGTGTTTTAAGTACACATTGGTTTAATTTTTTTCTTCCATAGGATTCAGTGAGGTGCTGCAAAAAAGGCAGCGTGAATTGACTGTTAGCAAAAACTACCTGATGTGCTCTAATCACCCCAAGCTAAAAGTTATAATTCAAAAAAGGCAAAAGATTTTATTTAATAGAAAAACATAGCTGAGGTGTTAACAATTGAAGAGCTAGCTGTCAATCCGTTATTGTGGATAGATATTTTTCCTTAGAAGGGTTTTTGGATGTACAAATCTGTGCACACAGGCAGGGCACATGGGACTGAAAAGAACTCAAGCAAAATTTGCATAATCAAGCATATTTGGAAAGCTTATTTTTTTAGCGTTCATGAAAATAACAGCTGGTGACAATGCTATAAAGGTCCTTGGTTGGGCACTTTGTGTTATTGGGTGACAGCATTCTTCCCCATTTCCCATGATCTCCTGCCTGTAAATCACCATCTTATGCTCTCCCAAACAAAACTGTAAGCTGCTGTGCTGATGCACACTGCCCAGGTTGTCACCATTTAAAGCAGGCCTTCTTTCCCTGCAATGGGCTGGAGTGCATTCTCATGGGATTTTGAGCACCCAGCTATCCCAGGAGGCAGCAGTGAGGCATGGTGACATCAACCATGCCTTCCGGAAGCCAGAACTGAGATAAGTATTTTTTCCTGCAACTTTTTCCTTAATGAATAAAAAAGTCCTATAAAAAACAATTGCAGCCAGAAATAATTAGGAAATATGCCCTGTGAAAAAACACATGCAGCCTGAAGTGCATGTCGATATGGAATGGCTGTAAAGAGGCTGCAAGACATAAGCAGCACTAAAATGTAACAAAGGATGAAAATAGGTAAAAACCCTTCCCTGCTCTGAACCCCAAATTCTCCAATATAGCATTTTGCTAATTACAGTACTTTTGGTAAGGATTTACATCTTGGCCAGGAAGGGGGTCTAAACACCTGGTCTTGAAGTGGTTAAGAGACCTGCCAGTGCCTACAAGCCCTACACTAATCTCACCCTATGTCAGCAGCAATCCCGCTGCTTTCCTATAACAGATGAAGCTCATTATAAATAGGTCTGCTGGGAATGCACCCTTTTATAGTGAGGGAGCTGGCTTACCCAAAAGCTTCCTTATTGGCTTATTGGCCCTTCTAAGCCAGCTGGTCTAAATTTAAAAGCCAGGCAGTACATTATGGTTACTATGGTGAATTGCTGCATAAATTCACCAGGTCAGCGCATGGTAGCGACAAACCCAAACCTTATTCCTAAGAAACAGCAGAGTCCAGTACATGTTAAAGACAAAACTGTATATGTATTGGACTGCTTTAAATGCTGTCAATATCATACATATGCATTTTCATTCATGAAATAAAATACATTTAACACTTCCAGGTATTTATTACCTTACACAGAAATCACAGTACCCTGGCAATGCTGCTTTTCTCTCCAGAAACATGAAACCATCTTTGTTCAGGCACTATCTAAGGTCAGCACCCACTGCCTGGACTAAGATGGTGGCCCAGAGGTAACACAGTTACGTAAATACACAGGTCAGTCCCCTGATACAGCTTCTTACCTTTTGATTTGCTACAAAGTTACAGTGTTGCAGTCTGATCATTGGGGGAGGGGAGACTGAGGAAATGTTTGCACCTGCCTTATGCAGACTGACGACAGCACCTTAGCCTAGACAAAGTCACTTGAGTGGAGCCCAAGGACTATTGTTGCTGTATATTATGTTAAATGTTAGGAATGTATTCATGCATGCCTGCAAAGTATTAAGAGATCAACTATTACAACTTCTGCTATTGTGCTAGCTTTAACTGTCAATTAAAACGACAAATGGACAGTGTGTATGATTCCTGGCTTCCTTTTAAAGTAGAACAAAAACTTTACAACATGAGCTATGTTGTAGAAGAAAAATGATTCGGTTTATATATGACTCAGCAGCTGATAGTAACCTCTTATGTTTTGGCAGAAAACACTGTTAACACCTATCGTGTTAATCCTGATGGCTCTCTGCGGGTGACCTTTGCCAGTGGAATGGAAATCAGTCTAAATGCAGAACCCCACATATTAGCAGGAGTGGTCAGTCCAACATTGGGGAAATGTAATATCTCACTACCTGGGGAGCACAGCCCAAATCTTATTGAGTGGCGACAACGCAAGGAGCAGAACAAAGGCAATATCTCCTCTTTCGAAAGACGCTTAAGGGTAAGACTTTTTCACTGTCATATTACACATTCCTGTAATAAATTACAAGGCTTCTTCAATGTTCATACTGTGTGGGAAGAACCAATTTGTTCCATATCCTGTAACTTCAAAGCAGAAATCAGCTAGAGGATCTACACTATGCTGTGAACTGACATAGAGGATTTAAAGGAAAATGGTAAACTTCTGTGCAGAGTATAATTTCATATTTCTTTGTGTATGCCTTTTGCTTAGCTGTATCAATGAGAAGGATATAGTGATAAATCTTGTCATACTGTGAACTATAAGGCTATTATTCATCAAAAAGAGAGGAATTACTAAAAAAAAAAAGGACACATTGTAAGATGCTATCCTGTGAAGAGTATAATGTGTTTCTTATTTATCAATGGATTTGCAATATCTTTCTTTAAATATCTAGTCAACAACAAGCTTTAAAACTGGTGCAGTTCTCCACAGGAGTGCAAATTTATATACAAAATAGTCTGCATATTAAAAGTTTAACTCTGCAGTGTCATTTATATGCACCATACTCCACTGGCTTTGTAGATTTCTCCAGCTCTGAAACTTGAGGTGGCCATACATAGGCGAAAGCCAAGGTGAGTAAAAATAACTCATTGCTTTCCATCACTGTCACATAGGCAGGTCATTAGCAGAATGCCAACCAATCATTAAATACTGAATATGCATTAAAATTGAGGGAAGAATAATATTTAGGTCTGATCATTTAATTTCAAAAGATTTCTCCGTGGCCATACTGTCTGTGGTCAGGTAATGGCAGTCACAGTCAACTAGGGGCCTCTGAGATGTTTCTTATGAGTTTTTTTCTTGATCTGGCACCATTTTATCATGAACTACCATTCACTGCTTGAAGTGGCATTGCCAGACATGACACAAACATAGTCTATGTGGAAAGGAGCAGGGCATAGGAAAAATGCCAGGCAAATTTTCATGTGCTGATGAGTTTTTGAAGCTACTGTAGTGGAGGTGTTCAGTAATTCCTTCATGTTAATGTGTCTGCAGCAGCAACGTGCATTGAGAATCCAGGCTGAAAGCATTTACCGCATTTTTCCGTCTATAAGACGCCCCCATGTATAGGATGCCCTCCACTGTTCTTACCCAAAATTCAGAAATCAATATTTTCCATGCTCTTTTGCATAACTGATTACATCCAGTTTAAATTTTGCAGAGTAAGACAGCCGCTTTGGTATTGGTATTTACCGGGATTTTTTTTTGTTTTCTGACATTTTATGGGCTCAGAATGCTCCGACATTACCGCTCACTGTTGCATCTAGGCACTGGCTACAGGCTCTCCGCAGCCTCAGCTGACGTCGGGTACATAAGGCTCATAATTGGAGGAAACCTGTTAGCTTATCTCTGCAATCGGAAGTTTCACTCGTGAGGCTAGTTTGCAGAGGTATCGGCAGTTTCGCAAACGCGGTTCTCCTCTTGGCCCCCCGTGTATAAGACGGCCTTCCATTTTTAGGTAAATATGTTAATGAAAAAGTATAGTCTCATACATGGAAAAATACAGTAAATACCCACGGCTATTTCTGTTTATAGCAGATCCCAGCAAACAGCTAAATACACATATGAAATATATAAATGACAGATGTTTCACCTGCCAAAGGATGTGTTCTTCTGTTTATCCAGTCCTGTGGTCCAAACAGTCCCGCCAAACTGTTCAGCAAGTCGGGTGGCCTGATTTCCTGCTGCAGTTTAACAATTAAAAGAGAACTAAAGTCATACCTTTTTTTTTGGGCTTTAGTCGTCTTTTGGGTCAAAGGAATACATTTACTGCAATGTCACCCTCTGGCCTTAAGTATTGGGAAAAGTACATTTTACTCTTCCAATACTTCTCCTTTAAGGGGTATGTTATGGAGATTTCACCTTTGCTTCCTTTTGTGGTACAAGGGTAGAAGGTGAGATAAAGTTTCTACAATGGGAATATACATTATTAAAATACTTTTTTAAGAAGAGTGGGAAATCCCTTTGTCAGAAATTTCTCCTTAGTTCCTGCACCATTCAGTGCATTCATCTTACAAACCGAGTCTGCAGTGGCAGCTTCCACATCTCCATCCTGATAGGTCACCTTCAAGAATTTGCAGAGAAAGACACCTGTGAGTTGATTGTGACAAAAACAAGCATTATTTTAAATACAGCTTAGTAAACGGCTGGGTGCAAACGGTTGTTATATGGTTCATTAGCAAATACCATTTTCTGGATGATCAGCAGCTTCTTTCTAGTGCAAGCACAATGTGAGTAAATGTATAGGGGCCATATCCTTAGATTTTGCTGATTGGAATTACTGACTACAACACTCTACTAGCAACTGCATTGATCACAATAAATAATTCCACTTTATATGTAATCAAATCAATATATAATTGATACATTTACAAGATAGATGAGATTAAAGGTTAGGTCTAAACTAAGCGAAATAATCTGTAAACATAACATAAAATATTGAAACTGAAATACATGTCACACAACAAGTTATCTTTTACCAAATTAGTTTAGATTCTAGGTAAGTTATAGGGGTCTTTTTATTTTAAAAAAAAATGATTTTTTTTTTTGTCCAGAAAAACTGCATGTCCGATCAAATTCACTTTATTCTCTATTATTAGTGCAAAGGAAAGGTGGTGGCACAGCTCCATGACTACAAAGTCCTCATACAGTATGCACTGAAATATAGGTACATATGTGTTTTCCGAGGATATTCAAAACATAGTAAAAGAGTAAAACTAATATCATGGTATCTACACAGTACTGTATATGACAAAGATGATTTGCTGAAGGATTTAAGAATGTTCGCACAATTCTTTGTGCGGATATTCACTTCAATTACCCAATCATGTGCAGATACAATAAGGGATTTTCTTTTCACATGATTGGATAACTGAAGTGAATCTTCACACATTTTACTTTCTGAACATTCACAAATCCTTTAGTAAATCAGCCATAATATATTAATCAACACTGCACCAAAGATGAGGTATCTGAGACTTGTTTGTTTAACTTTTGTTTGTTAGCGTCTGTTCACATCTCTTATAATTCACAACTCTGCCACATTTTATAGTTAGAGGGTAAAACTGTTGCTTAGCCCCTTCATCATCTTTTGTCACTTCAATGCCTTACAACTGCTCATTGCAATTTTAATGACCATCGGCACACCACTGAGGTTCTTCCTGTGGAAACTTGCTCTTGTAAGCTGCCTAAAGGTGCCCATACACTGCATGATTCTCGTACAAGAATCGCGGGAAATCCAGCGATCGTACGAGAATCGTGCAGTGTGAATGAAGACGTGCGACCGTTTCTACTGTACGGTCGCACGTCTTTTGTCTAAGGGGCATGCTAGAAAACCAGCCAAAAATCTTATGATTTTCGGCTGGTTTGAATGATGCACAGGAGACAAATGCCGAACGGGCCAGTGTGCACACGCGCACACTGCCGTTCAGCATTGCGGTCATCGCAAGTACGATCTGCCTGTCCAAGATGGGCAGATCGTAGGTTTTTAATTACTTTACAACCATCGCAAGACTAAGGTCTTGTGATGGTTGTAAATTGTATAACTACCTTAAGATTTCCCCCAGCAATCTCTGTGTTCTTTAACAATAAGTTTCTGTTACAATAACAACACAGTGCAGCAGATCCTGGCTCCCAGTATTCGCACTCCCACTCTCCACCTGATTTCTAGCATGCAGGAGATTATACCAAGTTAATATAAAGTTAGGGTTCTAACTTTGTAATAAAATGAAGGAATTTATAGCTATGCCAAACTATATAGAAAAGTTTGGTAGGTAAAGATTGTGCCTTAGAATTATGAAGTGACATGTACAGTATATTTCTTATTTTCTTGCTAAAGTAAAACCCAAGGACTTGTGCAGTATTATTATTGTGACATTCAGAATATAAGGTCATTGCAGATTTGTATTCCTCTACGTTTAATTCATTGTTCTACTGATGCCTTGTGAAGCTGTCTTGTGTTCCAGAAGGTAAATGAGTTCTAATTTGCAGTAAGGTGATATCCAGCATAATTCTTGATTAGAACAAAACACACATAGGCGTCAGTTTGATTAAACTGCTTTCGACAAGAATAGTAGAACTGTAGCTTCAGCAAGATTATAAAACTAGAAAGAAAGGACACCAAACATTAATGTTAGAATGCTTCAATTTCCAATACACAAAAGTGGCAGATTAGATAAATTCCCCTCCCTAGGCATTTGACTATGAATTATGACTCAAGAAAAAAGTCATAAATCAATGCCATCAAAAGCGATCCTCTGTCTCCATATTTTTGACCCTTTGGAAATGAAATACTCATGCATCTTTATGAATTCGGTATGGGGTTTCTGCACTTGAGATGTAATAATTATTTACTGCTTTAAAGCAAATGTATCTTTCAAAGGCGTGTGATGTAATGGTTCTCACATTGTAAGCATGACTTTTCATGTCTCAAGTCTCTGCAATAAGTACTGTCTGTGTTACTCTGTAGCAACAAGACTCAGGTTCCTGCAGGCTCAGGCTCACTGATGCTCTTTATAGGCATGCATAGTGAGATTTAATTACATTTAACCTATGCAGTCACAAAGAATGTCCTCTTGTGGGGTCACCCACAGCTGTATGCTAACCTTTTGTAACCGTTGGTTAAAAGTCAATATAACACAGTATATATATTTATACTAAACTTCTCCATTCTTCATTAGGGGGCATTTAATCTTCTCCTCTTCGTATGCTCTCCTGGGTTGTCATCTGTCTGTAAATAATTGTAAAAGAAGAATAGAGGAAGTAAATGGAGTTTTAGTTTTTCCCTTAGTATGAGCTTGTTATAGAGATTGCATGTTCAAAATAATATTATAGAAGATTAAAAAAAGAGAAGAGTGACAATAGTGATGTTTCAAATAAAAGGCTTACCTTGAAAGTAAAAAAAAAAGATACCTTTGTATGTTGGACTTCCTAAAGATGACTGCTGCATTGGAGGGGTTATGTAAAAATGGAGGCAGTTG